GATTTTTTTGCACCCTCAGATTCCAGATTTTCAAATAGTTGCATCTCGGACAAATCTTGTCCTATCCTAACAAACCATACATCAATATAGAGCTTATTTGTTCAGCTTTCAGATGATGTATAAATCTCAATTTCGAAAAAATTGACCCTTATGACTGGTTTTGTGGTCCAGGGTCACATATATATTCCATATGCATATTGTGTATTTACATATTTATGTATTATAATTGTAAAACAGAATGTGGATATTGAGCAGCTGTCTATCTTTCTGCAGGTAGAGCCAACAGCCACTATTTTGGACATTAAGTCTATGTTTCACAAATCAAGTAAGTTCTGCTCGGTGCTAAAGAAGCTATATGAAACCGCAAAGCCTTTCTTTAAATAGCTTTCTACAAGGAAGATGATAAGTTGATGACATAGAAATAATGGGTTCAGCAAAGTCTTACATGTCAGGCTTCAATTTTCACAGATCCACACTGGTATCCTGCCAGACAGTCTTTACGCCTGGACCCAAGTGAGTACATCTGCTTTATAACGCTTGTTAAAAACGTATTTGACATACTTTAAACTTAGTAACACATTTGACATACTTTAAAATTAGTAACAAATGAATAATTTGTTAATGTTGTTTAATTATAACGTAACATTGAAACAAGCGACTTGCATTGTAGTATTTATTTATTTTATTATAAATGTTATTTTATTATTATATATTTTTTAAATTATTATATTACATAATATTGAAACTAGTGGCATGCATTGTAACATTTATTTATTTTAATTCAAAACATTTCACAAAAATGTTGTTAGGTTTCAAATTTCAACATATTGTTCAAAATGAATATAAAAATTATCTGCACACTATGGTTGTCAAACATTAAAGAATCATGTTCATAGTTAATGAGATGAACTACATCTTCATACAGTTGATCTGAAATTGTAACAAAAAAAATGTTCAGACAAGTGAATTAAGTTGGTGTCCATATCCTTCTTTAAGCCACTATTTATGCGAAGAGAAAGTTAATGGTTGTGTTATATTGTTGATTTCAGAAGGAAAACCCTTAAGAGATGAGGAAATCCTTCAAGAGCTCCCAGTGGGAACCACCGCAACCTTCTACTTCAGAGACCTGGGAGCCCAGATTTCCTGGGGAACTGTGAGTGTTTTGCCCAACACACAAATAACAACTGAAACACGTGCAATCGTCACATATAGCAGGCCCCCATTGTCAAAAGACAATGGGGTCACATCTGCACAATTAGTAGCATTTTACAATGGCTTTGAAGATAGCTCATCAGAATTTAGCTTCAGTATTATAATCTTTGTCTAATCTTTCACTGGTATGTTATAGGGAGTTTGGTTCGGCTGATGTAAAAGTCAGGTCAGCGGCTGTACAGTGTGTGCACAGTCCTCTGGTTCAGTTTTCTCTCACCTCCCCACCACTCGGTCCTCTTTCTCAGAACATGTAATCTCTCAGGCACCATTTACCCACAGGTGTTGATCCCGTTCACCTTCTGCATGCATAGCCCCCTTGCCCACTCCTGTCCTGACTCCCATGGGGCAGGGATGATGACAGCCCATGGGAGGCATGCTCTATAAAATCGTAAATTTAACGTTAAAGACTGTAAAATTGTTACTGCAAAAACCTGTTGGTTAACTGTAAGTTCCCTTACTATATAGCTACAGTCAAAATCTGTGATAAATCTAATGGGACGTTTCATGTTATTTTACAGTCAAATATTGTTAAATCTTTACTGTTTAGAAGTGAAAAAGAACAAGCCATCTAAAAAAACATAAATTGACATTCCCAGAATTCCCTGTGTGACACATTTGATGGTTTTTCATTGAAATTAGTGTTTTTTGTCAGTTATGTGTACATTTAGGGTTTTATGTTACATCATATGCTGTTAAATGAAGGGGTCATATGATGTTGCGAAAAAGAACAGTATTTGGTGTAATGAAATGTGTTTATGCGGTTTAAAGTAAAAAAAAACACATTATTTTCCACATACTGTACATTATTGTTTCTCCTCTATGCCCCGCCTTTCTGAAACGCATCGATTTTTACAAAGCTCATCGTTCTGAAAAGTGAGGTGTGCTCTGATTGGCGAGCTATCCAGTGCGTTGTGATTGGCCGAATACCTCAAGCATGTGACGGAAATGTTACGCCCCTCACATACCGTGTCCGGCCGGAGCGACGAGACATAAACATTAAAACCCATTACAAACGAGGCATTTGTTGCAT